AAGACTGAAAGCAAAATCCTCACTGGGGGGCGAAAGAGAGAGAGAGAGAGATTTCGAGCACCCACCCACCTCTCTTCCCATCCCTCCAGCTCCCATGCAGCTTCAGAAACGGCGCCGGCGCTGCCTCCGCAGCCGCGCTTCAAAGCAGGGGATCGAGCGCGGAATTGCGGATCGCGGCCAAGGCGAGCCCCCAGCCAAAGAGCCTTGGCTGCGAGGTGGGAAGGGCTGAACCCGCCCGGGGGAAACCAGGAACTTTGCAAGAAGCCGGCGCCTGAATCCTCGCCCCCTCCGGGGGGGGGGGGGGGGGGGGGGAGGGCGTGGATCCCGGCCCGTTTGCCCTTTGAAGAGTTGCTGGGTCCTCTTCTCCAATCTCAGGATCGGCCGGGATTTTTTTGCCCCCCACGATTTCTTGAGACCGCCCGACTCTCCCCTCCAGGGAGGCGATTTCGCAGCATGGAACCCGTGCTACCCGCTCCGCCCTCGGCGGCACCGCGCTAAGGGCGGAGGCATCCGAGCCAGCCACCCCGCTTTCTCCCCCACCCCTCAAAAGTCCCACTGAAAGGAGGATCGCGCGGGAAGCTTGCCGTGGGCTTGCTCCCCCCCCCCCACGCCGCCTTCTCACGCTCGCGGCGTCGGGATCGCGGCGTCTAAAAACCCGGCGGAGTTTTCGGAGCTTCCCTTCGAGCGGCGCGGAGCGCTACGTGTTATTCCGAGGGCAGCTGTCCGAGGCCGGCCTGCCGGTCCACGTGCTGCCGGTCCCAGCGAGCGGACGGCCCTCTCCCTTTCCCGGGGACTTGGTTTTTACGCCTTGGTGCTCCTCCGCCTCCTCCTTCTGCTTTTCCTCCAGCTGCCGTCTCAGCTACCGCCGCCGCCGCCGCCGCTGCCTGGGACTAGCCGCCGCCCCCTTCCCCGGTGGATGCCGCCGGGAAGCGGGCGGAGCGCGCAGCCGGGGAGGGGGGCTGCCGCGGCCGCCGGAGTACATGCCAGTGCCCTCTCCTCCTCTTCCTACCAGAATGCTTTACTTCCAGATGGTGATCATGGCAGGGACCGTGATGCTGGCTTATTACTTCGAGTACACCGACACCTTCACGGTCAACCTGCAGGGCTTCTTCTGCTACGAGAGCGCCTACCGCAAACCTTACCCGGGCCCGGAGGAGAGCAGCGCGGTGCCCCCCGTACTCCTCTACTCGCTGGCGGCGGGGGTGCCAGTCTTGGTGGTAAGCATCTTTGCGAGCGAGCTAACCGGCCTCCTTCCCTCCCTTCTCCGCCCGCTCTCCCCTTCCTCCACCACCGCTCCGAAAGTGCTGCTTTCCGCCTTTCAAGTTGGCTCAACTTGTTGCTAAAGTCTCCCTGAGGCGGCGCAGGTATCCCGAGCCGGGTTGGGCAAGATAGAAAAAAAAAAAAAAAAAAGAGGCCTCCGTGCACATACACATGCATAATGTATGTGGCTTTACATATGGGTATGTCTTTGAGGGTATAATCTGCCCTGGCCCGATTTTAAACCAGGGATTCATCGCCTGGGCTGATTTTTCCTTCCTTGGGTTTGGTGGCGTATTATCTCCCTTCCTCCCTGCCGGGGATCAGTACCTCGGGATTGTCCGTCTCAACTTACTTTGGGGTTCCCGCTTAAAATTGCCAGAGTGGTGCTGGTGCTGGGAGTCCTTTCTGGGTTTGCCTCAGCTGGAAGAGCCATTTTCTAAAGATCGCTAGTATCCTCAGGCCCCCCCCCCCCCCCCGCCTTCTTTTCCTGAAGCTGGTAGCGCTGGTTTTGGAAAGAAGATACAGCACTGGAATTTTTTTTTTTTAATGCTATTTTTCATGGCATTTTTATTTTGTTCAGTGCATTGGTTAGTCACAGACGAGCAGGCATTTTCTGGCGGTGTGTAGCAAATATTTCTGCTAGCGAAAATGACAAGCTTGTCTGTTTCTGATGGTCAAAAAGGAGAAGGGAATAGGCATTTTTCTTATTTCTGCTTCAGCCCTTTCTGTATTGGTTAGGAGGAGCCAGAAGGTGAGATATAGGCAAAATCTTGATGTGGGGTTTTGAGGTGTCTTTTAAAAAAAGATTCATGAATAGGTCTGTTGAATGGCATTCAGCTGGCTTCCCAGAAAAAAGAATTATCAAGGAGCATCTGCCTTGAAAAAGCTCAGAATACAAGTTGTAATGTCATTAGACAGAAGCATTTAATAGTCCCCCAGCATATTGAAGCCATGAACAAAAAGGGGAGGGTGTGACCATTCAAAGTGGGATATATTTAGACACAAATGCACACACATGCCTAGATGTGCAAGACACTGATAAAATGATGCTGCTGGGATTCTCCCTGCCAGCCATAAATTTAAGGCAAGAAAAATAGAAAGAGATAATTTGGAATGTGCAGTTTTATAAACACACTGTCTTATGAATCTCTGACAGACAAATCGTGCCAGCAGGGCTATGCAAGAAATCTCATTGGTTATCACATTCTGGAGCCCTTCACATTGATTTAAAGCCATAAAGCCACTTATGCCCTAACGATAAAGTATTTGAAGCTGAGCTGGTAGTTTTTCTTCCCATTGTATATGATGGTTTCTCCTGTTGAAAAGAATGTTCTGGGATAAAAATCAGTTCACGTTACAATATTTTGTTATAATATATATCCATGTCTGGAAAACCAGAAAACCAATGCTTCCTTACCATTGCTTTAAATTATTACACCCATATTTGCATATAGGCATATCATATATTTTTTATCAGTTACAGTTTGGTCTTATGATGTCTTAAGGATGGCTACATCTAGGTTCTTGCTTATGCTTCTTAGCATAAGGAGAATATGAAGAGGATTATTCTGTGCTCATGCTTGAAACCCACCCCCCTTGAATTCCCAGGCCTAAATTCTGCATAAACAAGCTTAAAATTGTGCTGTAACTTAGTCCTCTGAGTTTATGATGAGAGGTGTTGGACAGTGTCAGGAAAAGAACAAAGCCTTTTCATTTAAAGATGTCTTGTTTCTGACACATGTAGGCCTTTAAAGAAGCATATTAGCAAATAGAAACTTAGAAATATGCAAATTATGTATCAAATTAATCTTGTTTTCTCTAGGCAAGTCCATTGTTGATGAACACCCTGCTGCAGAATTGATTGAATTGTATAGAGGGTGATGAGTCTTCTTTGTGTTATTTATGTTATTTATGTTATATACCAATATATGTTGTGTTAGCTTGGCATTATTTTCCCTATGAAATATATATTTTTTAAGAAATCTCTTTTTTCTTGGCAGTCACAATTATTTAGACATGTGTATTTTTGGAAAAAATAGAATCCAGAGGATGTTTACAGTGGTTATTCTTTATTTCCTCAGTCCAGATTTTGATACATAACCTCCTCCAGTCCCAACATGTCACTAATTCACACTAGATTTGTGGGTGTGGTTGCATCATCTCAATGTCAACTGGAAGAAGGAGATGTCAAACAAAAATAGTTATTTCTCTAGGCATGGCTTTAAGACAAGGTTAAAAATATATGTTTTGTGTCTCTAGATTACTATCCCCAACACACAGATTTTCTCAACGACATTAAGTTCATCTCATCTAGTCACTGTGGCTATAGATTACCTCTGGTATGTCTGTAAGTACTAGTTGCTAGGGAACATGAATGGAAGAGTGCTCTTGTATTCTTGTTCTACTTGTGGGTTTCTTGTAGGATTTGCTTGGCCGCTGTGGGAACAGAATGCTGAATAGTTCTAATCTGTGTACCCATGATTATTTGCACCAATCTCTTCATGTTTACTCTGGATTCAAAATGGCTGACAAACATTGCCTTAGCTACAGCTAAATGTTTCCCACATAGCTGAACATTCTTCATTATTTCTTAGCTGAGTCTGGTTTTCCCTCCTGCTTTTTATATGGATTGTTCTTTTTTGACCATAGAGATGTTCCTCCTGGAACTGGTATCTCAGGCCCAGGGAGTGTTTGCAACAGAAGAGAAGAAAGAAGCACAGAGAAGAGTTTCTTATTAACCAGTTCTATTCACAAGGGGAAATCATTACATCTCAAACACCGTTGCTGGCAGGCTATTTCCAAAGATACAAGATATTAATTTTTATGAAGATTTGTGGCCAAGTGAAATATTAATAATCCACTGCTCTGGCAATATTATTTTAAAATGGCCATTAAAATACTTTTTTATTTATCCCCTGAAATGTTACATTGCAAATAGAAAGCTACATTATTTATAGCTAGTACCTATGAAACAGATTGCTGTGTTCACTCTGAAGAGGATTATGAATACAATGAAATTGCTTTGGAAGAGCTTCCATAATTAATATGATCAGCAGTCCAGATGAGCTTGAAATGCAATAGATTATATAATTTGAAGTATGCTCTCTCAAAGTATTCTTTTTGGTGCCAACTGACTCATTTATATGTATTTGCAAGCTAGATGTCTGTTACAAGTTCTGATATAGGGAAGGAAGGAAGGAGACATGGAGTTATCCAGTTTTGTTCTTTAGAGGCAGCCATTCTGTATATACAGAATCTTTCATATTAATTTCTGGAGAAGACAAAGTGGCCAAGCTTATTTCCCTCAGGGAGTGATGAACTGTTGGTAGATATCTATAATTTTGCTGACAACCAGTGAGTTTGCTTGGATGCTGACACCAGGAAGGGTAACTCGTGTTCAAAGATCAGAAGTAGTTCTTGTGTTATTCTCATACACTACAAATATCTATATTCTACAAATACCTGGATAAAGACTTTGATAGTATAAACTATAGAAGTAAAATCCCCTCAGAAGGAGAAAAATAAAATCAGAGACACCCATTGATGTCATTGTCTTATCCCATAGTCTTTTGGAAAAGATAAAAAGACACCCCTCAGCCCTTCCACCTCCCAAGGTTACCTGCCTTGCTCTGCACTGTGATTCTTTCAGGGTCTACTGAAATGTCCATTTCAGAGACAATTGAAATTTAGGTCCAACAAAATACATTTCTCAAGTTTGGCCTTTTGCCCCAAGCTTAAGTCTTTCCCCCCAAGAAAATGAAGGACAGAAAAAGGTAAAGATTGCCTTAAGAACCCTGTGAAGGTTACTAATTACCGTATTTTTGGACTATAAGACGCACTCCCCCCTCCAAAAGTGGATGGAAATGTCTGTGTGTCTTATAGAGTGAATATGGGCCTGTTTTTGGCCTCCCAAACCCTCCGTGGGTCCCATTTTTGCCCTCCCTGGCATCCAGAAGCAGTTTGCAAGCCAAAAATGGGTCCGTTTTTGGCCTCCCAAATCCTCCATGAGTCCCGTTTTCGATCTCGCCAGGGAGGGCAAAAATGAGACGTGCAGAGACTTAAAACAATTTTTTCTTGCTTTCCTTCTCTAAACCTAGGTGTGTCTTATGGTCCAGTGTGTCTTATAGTCCAAAAAATACGGTAACTCTCTTTCTGGTGTTAATCTGCCCAAAGTACCAAGCCTACTACTCACTGCCTAGCAGAGTTCCCTCTTATGTTTATTGGCCAGCAAGCCTGTATGAAGTACACCATTAGGTAGCAGGTGCTAGCAGAGGCAGTCCTTTGCCTCCTAGCTATTCCCCCTAGTTATATTTATTTATTTATTGAATGGGGAAAGACTGACAATTACGTGACATCCTGCCAGTCTCGATTCTCTAATCAGCTTCCATAAGTAGGATGAGGGAGGGAATGTCAATTTGTCTTTGCCTTAGGCTGAAAGTTTGGTTGGAAGCCCAGATTGATCATAGCAGAAAGTGATTAAATGTTGTGAATGTTCTTATTTAAACTAGTAAAAGCAGCACAGGTAGAATGCCTGTTTGATCCAAAGGCAGAATTCTGTCTGAAGTTTTTACATTCAATTCAAATAACAGTGTTGGAAGGAGCGGTTTAGCCTCTGAGTTCAATCTCCTGTTCAGTGGGCGAATCCAAATTAAACTATCATTGACAGATAAGTGTCTAGCCTCTGACGACAACTTCCCTGAGTAATTGTTTCCACTGTCAAACTCGTCTGAAAGTTAGAAGCTCTTTCCAAGATTGAACCAGAATCTGCCTTCCTTAACTTAAATCTATTGTTTCCTGTCCAATAGTTGGCTAGCTTATCTTGACTAGTTATCAGATATATTTCAGTTATCTGGAGAGAGCTATCAATCATTGTCAGTCTTCTTAATATTCCAGTTTCTTTAGTCTCTGTAGAACTTATTTTTTGAGGGGGTATTTGTTGCCCTTCTCTGAAGTTCTC